TTAAAACTTTAGTTTTAGATGAAAGTACAACATAAAGACACTGCCTAATTAATACTTGAGGTATGCTGCATCTCAGAAGACTTCCTAATTTATAAAGAAATGTCAATTTACAACTTGAAAAACTAAATTCATGGTTTAGATATTTTTGAATCTTTTATCTCTGTCAAAGAATTTTAGCTAGATATACAAAAATTAAATTCTATCCAGATGGATGGTGCTTCAGCAATGCTAGTTTTTTTAAAAATCTGAATTTTAAAAATTGGAATTTATTGTAATTTTAAAACAAAAGACCAATGTTTTCTTACTGCTTCATTCCACTGTATGGTATCTATGTTTCATTTTCTGAAGCAGACTCTTGAAAAGGGTTACAGATACTACTGTTGAATTGTTCAGCATATATTTGCAAATGCTATGGATCAATGCCAGTTAATGGAACTGTTAAAAGAAATAGAAGACAATGAATGTAATAATCTGTGTTCTTTGCCAATGCTTGTTGACTAATAGAAAAGATTCACAAAGATTTGCTCTACTGTTCAAGATTTTACTGAAGCAAAAGGAATGCTTATCAATTATTATTATTATTATTATTATTATTATTTTAGGCAGTCTTGCTCTGTTGCCCAGGCTGGAGTGCAGTGGCACGATCTCAGCTCAATGTAACCTCCGCCTCCTGGGTTCAAGCAATTCTGCCTCAGCCTCCCAAGTAGCTGGGATTGCAGATGCCCACCATCATGCCTGGCTAATTTTTGTATTTTTAGTAGAGATGGCGCTTCACCATGTTGGCCAGGCTGGTCTCGAACTCCTGACCTCAAGTGATCTGCCTGCCTCGGCCTCCCAAAGTGCTGGGATTACGGGCATGGGCCACCGCGCCTGGCCAAATATTCAAAAATTAAAGACAAAAACGACTGAGTAACTTTGATATCACACTGCATATGAAACAGCTAAATTTGAAGTTCCAAGAAAATGAAAAGCTGATATGTGATCTAGCTAAAGAGGAACAAAATTTTAGGCTAAAATTGCAGCTTTTCAGAGTGCAATACAATATACAATAATAATTTTGTACATTTTCTTACATGAATAAACTTCAAGAAAATCTGCAGATTTATTGAAATTGATAAGATTATTGTTGCTTATCATTTTACGCAAAACCTCTTTGAATTCGATGTTGGTAATATTGACATGTGTTAATAAATTGACTTAACTTGAACAGACATAGTTTTGAAATCAATATGCTTTTGCTTCAAAGTCAAATCAAGACAAATCAGTTGTGTCAATGTGGATGTAAATATTGCAAGAAAATAATTTCTCACATAATTCATAATTCAGTTTTTGGAAAACTTTTAAATATGTTTGGAATTATTTGGGTATGTGATCCTACCTTTTGAACTGTAAATTTTAGGAAATATAAATGCAGATTAAATATGTCCAATGAAATGTTTATGTCCAAAATGAGAGACACTGTAAGTCAAGCTTGTCCAACCTGTGGCCCACTGGTTCCATGTGGCCTAGGATGGCTTTGACTGTGGCCCAACACAAATTCGCAAACTTTCTTAAAACATTATGAGATTTTTTTGTCCTCATCAGTTCTTGTTAGTGGTAGTGTATTTCACCTGTGGCCAAAGACAATTCTTCTTCCAATGTGGCCCAGAGAAGCCAAAAGTTTGTACCCCTCTGCTCTAAGTGTAAAGTACACAACAGATTTAGGAAATTTAGTGCAAAAATGTAAAATACTTCATTGATAATGTCATGTTGATTACATGTTAAAGTGATATAATGAGTTAAATAAAACATATTATTAAAATGTATTTTACCTATTTAAATATGGCCACTAGAAAATTGAAAATTACATATGGGGGCTCAGATTTTATTTCTGTTGGACAGCACTGGCTGATACATATATCCAGAAATTGAATTATTAATGTATAAAATATTCCACTGTTTAACACTAGAAAAAGTACCAAACTGTTCTGCAAAGCTGCCCTATCAGTTAATATTCCTACTAGCATTGTATCCTATCCATATCTTCACTAATGTTTAGAATTGCCTCGTTTTAAAATTTTCGCCAAGTGAATGGGTATGTCATTATGATCTTAATTTGCATTTTTTGGTCACTAATGGTACTAAACATCTCTTCATATGTTAATTGGCCATATATATTTCCTCTTCTGTGAAATGTTTGCTCATGTTTTGGCCATTTTTCTTTGGTATTTTTCTGTTTGTGCTTTTCTTACTGATTTATTGGTTATTACTATTGAAGACCCTGAATATAAAATTAAATATAAGATTCAGTTACTCTTCCATCTCAGAATGTGTGATCTGCCCACTTTGGCCTCCCAAAGTACTGGGATTACAGGTGTGAGCCACCATACCCAGCTCACCACTTTTTTCAGCTTTTCACTGCAGGTTCTACTCAGTGTAATAAAGTAGGAGAAAGAAATACAAGGCGTTCAGATTGGGAAGGAGGAAGTAAAACTGTCTTTATTCACAAGACATAATTGTCTATGTTACAAAATGTGGTGTAATCTACTAAAAAGCTACTAGTAGTAATAAGTGAGTTTAGTAAGGTTGTGGCATATAAGATCAATATAAAAAATCAATTGTATTTTTATACGTTAAGATAATTGAAAATTCAAATTAGAAAAGCAATACCACTTAAAATAGCATCAAAAACATGAAATGTTAGGGATGCATCTGGCAAAAAGGTGCAAGATCTTCACAGTGAAATCTACACAATATTGCTGAGAGAAATTAAAGAAGACCTAAGCCAATGGAGAAAAATACTGTGTTCATTTGTTGGAAGACACAATATTGTTAAAATACCAACTCTCTCCAAATTGATATATAATTCAATGCAATGCCAATCAAAATGTCAACAGATTAAAAAAAAAATTGGTGGAAACTGACAAGCTAATTCTAAAATTCATATTGAAATGTACAGAGGCAAAACACCCTTGAAAAAGAACAAAGTTGGATGGCTAACACTACCTGATTTCAAGTTACATTGATCAAAACAGTGTTGTATTGGCATAAATATACGCAAAAAGATCAATGGAATAGAATACAGAGTCCAGAAATAAGCCTGCACATATATGATCAATAATTTTTCAACAAAGTTGCAGAAGTGTTTGAACAGAGGTGGGAAGATTGGATATCCATAGCACCACTACCACCACCACACAAAGCACTTCAACACTTCAAACCCTTATCTCACACCACAAACAAAAATTAACTCAAAAACCGTAGTCCTAAACCCTGAAACCTAAAATTGTGAAACTTGTAAAAGAAAACCTAGGAGAAAATAACTGTAACCTTGCATTAGGCCAAGAATTCTTAAATATGACACCAAAAGCATTATCCACAAAAGAAAAAAATCGATAAACTAGACTTCATTAAAATTTAAAAACTTTGATACTTTGAAAGATACTATGGAGAGAATGAAATGACAGGTCACATGCTTAAAGAAAATATTTTCAAATAGTATATATGATAAAGGACACATTCATAATATATAAAAACTCTCCATACAATAAATATGAAAAAACTAGCCCAATACAAATATGGGCAAAAGATTTGAACAATACTTCATCTAGGAAGATATATGAATGGCAAATAAGCACAGGAAAAGATGCCCAACATCATTAGTCATTAGGGAAATAAAAATTAAAACATAAAACACCTGATATAATGTCTAATATGAAAGTGATTGATCACACAAAGCTCACGAGGAGGTGGAACAACTGGAACACGACACCCACTGCTGGTGAGAATGAAAATGGGACAACCAGTTTAGAAAACAGTTTGGCAGTTTCTTCAAAAGTTAAACAGACACCCACCATAGAGCCCAGCCAGTTCCATTCCTAAGTAATTATGAAAGAGAAATGAAAGCTTATGTCCACACAGAGACCTGTACACAAATGATCAAAGCAGCTTTATTTATAATACCTAAGAAATAGAAACAAACCAAATGTCTATCATCATTTGGATGGTAGTAAACAAATTGTTATAGATCCAAACAATGAAATATTACTGAGTAATTAAAAAGTAATGATGTATTGATATACATGATAACATGGATAAATCCCAAATTAATTATGCTGAGTGACAGAAACTATATGTGTGTGTGTGTGGGGGGGGTGTATACACATTCATTTATATAAAATTCTAGAAGAAGCAAACTAATTTATAATGACAGCGTAACAGTGGTTGCCAGGGGATATAGGGGCAGAAAAGGACAGGAGGGAGAGATTGCAAAAGGTCATAAGGAAATTTTGGAAGTGATGGAAATATTCATTATCTTAATTGTGGCAGTAGTTTCAAGAGGGGATAAAAATATCAAAACTTACTTTATATACATGCAATTTATTATGCAAGGATTATACTTCAGTAAAGCTGTTAATTTTAAAACTAATTACAATTAAGTAAAAAATAAAAGTTCAGTTTCTTATACTAGTCACATTTCATGTTCTTAGTAGCCACATGTGGCTAGTGGCTACCATTTCAGCACAAATACAGAACATTTCCATCATTGTTGAAAGTACTGTTGGATAACACTGATCTAACTCATACATAAAACAGCATCTGTTTCTTTCATTTCTCCTCCACCTACCTACCCCAAACTTTAGGGATGGTAATAAGCAAGGCAGTATGGCACTGATATATAAATTACCCGAGAACTTTAAAAAACAGATTTTATTACGTTAGTTTTAATGTAACTTTGCTGTGGAGCAAAATATACCTTCTATTCATAAACATATAGCACACAGTTTCCTCATTTAGATATCACAGCTTCTATGGATTATATTTAATTAGTTTCCTCCAAAGCTCAAGTTGATGTCAATTTTAAACTAAATGATATGGAAAGAAATGAAACAGATAACTCGCTCTTGGAACTTACTTTCTCCTTGTAATCAAAGTACTTATTGCTTTGCTATAACTCCTAAGTGAGAATATACATTTTTTCGTATACTCATAAATATCAAAATATTATGTTACATATGCAATTGAATGTTCCCATTTAAAAGAATCAAGTATATAACTCTTACACAACACATAGAAACACAGGTTTCAAATGTGAGAACAGACATTAACATAAACACCATGTATGCACTGAAATGTTTCACATTCATTAAACAGTTCATAAAATTAGGACGGAGAAGTTGTTAAACTATATTCTATATTCTTACTGAAGCTTTTTCCCTTCCTGCACTATAGCTCTTAGTTTTCAGAGTTAGAGGTGACTGCATCTCAAAAAAAAAAAAAAAAATTCGAACTCAATTTTCTGCCCTCATTCTGTGTTGTCTACGGAAGAGTCTCTGCTTGGAGTTTTTGTTTCAATATACAGAATGCAGGGCTGAAATCCTCAACCATCCTTGTTCCAAAGCCTGATACACAAACCTTTCATATATATTTTGATGTCTGAGTCATCTCTGTCTTAGAAATGGAATACGGAAAAAGGTAACTGGGGTAGGGGGGAGAAGGGAGGTTGCTGGCCAATGTAGACAAACTAAGGCGACCTCCGAACTGTGTATTGTAGTAGATAAGCAAGAAGTACGAAAATAGAAACCAAGTCCCTCTGTTGTTTGCAGAAGCAGAACTCAGAAGCCAGCTTCACTTACTTTTTTACACCGACAGAGCCATTTTCCTTGTTTTCCATGTCAACAGATAGCATGGGAAGGCTGCAGGGTTCCTTTACTTCAGCAACTAATCAATAAGGGAGAAAAGCTTGTGTTTAATTCTTAGAAAGTGAGAGAAGAATATATATTCTGAATCGGAAACATAATGGTCCCTTTTACAGCTTCACACCAGTTCACGTATGTTTGTTTAAATCTCCAGTTCCCTCGGCGATTGGAGAGATGTGATTAAACCTAAAGAACTGGAGGAGACGGATTGGGGTGCTTTCATCTGTACTGGCACTCCCTGCCTTGACAATAAGCATTTGCAAATGAAATTGAATCCTTGTTGAAAACAAGTGCTGTGTGAACTGGCACAGCTTCTCCTGGGTGCCTAGCTCTCACTTAAGACACTGCAACTCATAAATGAGTCAAAGTAGAGAAAAACAATCCCCCTTTTCCTTCCCCCCTCCCATTATGGGCTGTGATTTGTTTTTTCTTATTGCATTTGTTTTTTTTTTTTTTTTTGGTCCACTCCCCCTTGCTCCTAGATTTTTTCATTGCAATGCAGAAGGACACTTAAAGCTTTTGTCAGTAAGTATTCCCCTACCTCACATTCTTAACGAAAGCCTCAAAAACCCGTCTGTGAGATGGCCATGCTGTGGTAAAGCAGGAAGCTCACAAAAAATGCCAGATAGCCCTTAGCACAGAAAGGTGGTGCTGGGGTGTGTGTGTGTGTGTGTGTGTGTGTGTGTGTAAGAAAGAGTAGGTAGCTCATTAGATTTATGAAAAATCATCAGAACATTTAAGGAGATATTGTAGCATCCATCATTCTGTCTTTTTGTTTAGTAGGATGAGGGCTGTGAAAAATTAAAAGCCTTCCACAATTAATATGCAATTAGCAAAATGAAAAAGCTACGAACAAAACTGCTTTAAGAAAAAAAAAAAAAAAAAAACGGAAGCAACAGTCCCGAAACGTGTTTGCTCTTATTCAGTTGAAGCCATAAATTAAATACATTTCCACTCAAATCACTTTATACTTCGGCACTCCTTCTCTAGGGATTACTCTGACATGGCAAGTGCATCATTTAGTATATTCGCAAGATTTTATCACTGTTAGAGAAGTAGATGATTAACAAATAACACTGTAAGTGTGGGATAATTTTCACTCCTGAAACACACACATACACACAAACTTCCAGTTGCTAAACCACTTAGATCACTGATAGAGAAATCCAACATTTAATATATAGATAGATATTAGCATACATTCACACACCGTTATAGAGTAGACAGGAAGATAGTGCTGCTGCTCCATGCTAACAGAATATGATTTCACTTCAGTTGGAAACTGTTACACATTCACCATTTTCTAAGCATCTCAGAAAACAAAACAAAACAAAACACTCACAATGATACTCTGCAACATCACACTACATTGTCTTATTATTATTACTATTATTTTCTTTTTTTGTGGAAGAGTAAAAAGAAAACCTACCTATAAGCAACTAAAAAATATCATTTTTTATAGGCTTATCAAGAACAGCCAAAGAAACCCCAATGTTTTCTTTCACAAAGTAGGCTGGCAAAGGAATTCAATAAGGAGGTACAATTTGACACAGTGAAATAAAACCAGGCTGGCTCTGAGCCAACATGACGTTAGGAATCACACACAAGCTGCACCAACTGCCTTCTGGTTCATGGCTGACTTTTTAAAGCTACAGTGTGCCTGTTCACTTTTGCTAACTACCTTCAGCACAATTAGTGCAAGAGAATGAGCCAGGAGTCCAAAACCTGCAGAATTCTCCCTGCACCTGTCTTGTACAAAGAAAAACAAGCTCTCTCAATAGCTTCTTATTTTCTCCCTCCCCTTCATTGTTGCTGCATGATAGGTCTTAGCTGTTGTTCTGAGCGTGAATGTCATGTTTCAAACTATTTCGTTTTCTCCCCAGAGGGAAAAATAAGAGTGAGAACCCAGTGCTTATGGGCTATAACCAGAGAACACTTGGAAGCTGCAGTCCCATGTTACTCTTTTTTTCCTAATAGAGATTGGTGGACAAAGTTCCCAGGGCTGGCTTTTAAGTAATCTCTTTGTGACAATAAGGAAAGCACTGCCCAGCAGCAAATCCTTTTACTTCATTATGCAGGAAGTAACATATTTCAGAGAGGATGCAAAATAGATGACCAGATCTCCTGAAAACGCCCACATTCTTTTATTTTGGCATTTATCCTGCCAAATGAAGCCAGCAAAAATTCAGACTGAAACAAACAAAACCTTATTCTACAAAATGAAAACAATTAGTTCTGGGAGGTTTAATTTTAACTGTTTATCCCAGTTGCACAAAAAGCATAATTCAAGAAATTCAACCAACACTTACCATCTATGAGTACCCGGTACTATATTAGTTGCATATGAGTAGAAAAACATTATGCCCACCCCAAAATTCATAGTCTCTCCCGCCATCATCCTAAATACCAAATCAGAAAACTGGGAGGTGGAGCAGAGAGGCTGGGCAAGATCTTTTGTTTACGTTACCCTGGTCATTCTCACAGTTTCCGTGCTTGGCTTAAACCACTTTTCCAGGGGAATAATCTCATCCCATAAATGTTCTGCACATACACAGAAAACATACATGGTTGCCTCTTCATTGAAATAAACATCAATCAACATTTGTACACTTTTAGGTCAAGATGGTCAACAAAACCACTCAAAACAGGACACAGAACACAGGTTTCCCAGAAAGATCTTGGAAAAGTTATCTGTTGCTGTAATATCCTGTAGAATTCAGGTAGAATCCGAGGAGAAAGTTGCCTGCCTCCCTTTTTAAAAATAATCTTTTAGGACATTAGAAGATCAACTTTGATCTAAATTTGGAACCCGAATTTCAAGGTCAAAAATTGGTCCTTTACTTATTCCAGGAATTATATTAGAAATTTTCGACTTCCTTAAAGATCACTGCCGAGAAAGATTTCAAATATTTGCCATTGCTCCCTTGAAAAGGCAAACAATAGTAATCTAGGAACCAATTAAATATTTTTGAGCACTATTTTTGAGCACGGGTCAGGCATGTGGATCTTTCACCAGTGCTGATCTCAAAATGATGGACTCTTACCGAGATAAAGAGCTCTTTCACTAACAGATTCCATAATGCTTTTGGACTTGATCTGAAATTCCTGAACTATTCTCCCAGTAAATCCAAATTGGAAGCGAGTTGGACTGGGAGTTCTGTGTCCTGGGAAGCTGGGGTTGTCCTGACAGTGCTGCTCAGAACAAAAGCATGTTCAGCTCTCCACTCTTGAGGGGGAAAAGGCAGAGACTGTAGTTACACCCAGCTCTTCCTTAGACACAGCCGCAGGAGAAAGGATTCTGTGATGTTTTTCCAAGCATCTCTTCCTACATGTACAAAGGGACATCCCCTCCCATCTGGCCTGCTGTGATCAAAAGTTTGCCTGTTACACAACAGTAAAGTTTCAGAAAGTGTTGTAGGAAGTTAATCCCGTGGTATAAAAAGTGAGCCACAAAGACACTCTAAATTATGACAACAGGAGGTTTCACTTACCAGCTAGTTTCTAACTTTGGTAGTAAACTGACACTTGTGAATATAAATATACATATATACACACACTAGTATTCACACACTCCCTCCAACAAAATGTTTGACATCAATCCTCTGCTGATAAAAAGTTGTGTGTGTAGTGTGTAGCATAAAGTATGTGTAATGTGTGTACTATGTGGTGTACTTTGTGTGTGGGTGTGGTACGTATGTGGGTGTGTATGTGGTGTGTGGGGGTGAGGGAGAGAGGCAACCAAACAAGACCTTCTGATCCAGCACATTATGGGATATGCTGAAATAACTTTGGAGATCCTGAAATCGCCAAATTATATGCTGAAATTAACTTTGGTGTCAGTATTCTTGAACAGAACTTTCGACCCACTTGGGAACGGGCTCAGATAGGGAGAGGGGAGGCGGTTAGGAAGGGCGGGAAGCTGTTGACTTTGATTGGCTTCTTTTCTAGATCAGCATTCATCCCCCAGGCAGAAAGGACTCGCCTAGGGAGCCAGCGCGGTCCCAAAGGAGCCGCCGGCCCTGCCTCCCGGGATCCGACCCCAGGTGCGTCCAGCCTGAAGTCGCCCGAGGGCAGGGCCGACCTCACCGCGCCGGGAATGGCGTCTCAGGGGCAAGTGAGAATTGGCCCGGAGAGGGGACGGTAGGGGCAGAAGACGCCAATTGCCTCTTGGACCAGCAGCGCCGGCCCTGAGCCACACGACTCTCTGTGGCACTGGGGACAGAGCGGGGAAAGTTTCTGGCTAAGACTTTCACGGAGAGACGGTTCGCTGGCGTTTAGTGTGGGGGTTCCCCGGGGAAGCCGGTCTTTGGAAAGTGGAGGGTGTAGGTGTGGCGCTTGCGGGGCACCCCGCCGAGTCGTGCCACCACCCCGTCCCGCTCCCCGAGCACTGCCAGCAGCCCCAGGCGAGCCCCGGCTCTCCGTGGGGCAGGGCACGCTTCTGCCCCCATTCCGCTCCACGGTGAGAGCCCACGTCCGTGGGTGCAACGAGCTGCAGGAGCACCGAACACTGCCAAGATGAGGGAGGGCAGAGCGGTTTTCATTGCGGCATTCTTCGTTTCCTTCCATCCTGGAGAGAGGAGAGGGCGGGCGCCTTCCCACGCCCTGGCCGCACAGGCGGATTACTTACCTCCCCGCATGGCCGCGCTGGGAGGTTTGCCCCGCGCGGAGCTCGGCGGCCGCCAGGCGCAAAGCCCCGGTGCAGCCGGCCGAACGCGCGCGGCACGCCGGGAGTTGTAGTCCACCGCGGGTCGGCTGGGGTCGGAGGGGCGGGGGACCCCCAGGAATGGGGAAGGCCAGGACTAGAAGGGACAAGACCTGGGCAGGACAAGGGAGGATGTTTGCAAAAACTTAAAACTTCCAGGGACCTGGGGGGAGGGGAACCCTACTAGAGAGATTTTTAAAGTGAGGATTTTTTAGGTTAATACCATTTTCTTCCTGTCTTACTCGCTTATCACAACCCCAATGAAGTTTTAAGCTGGACTCTGGCAGTAATGTTAAGTAGAGATTTTCCCGGCCAACTTCATATTATTTAGGGCTCTATTCTCCCTTTATCTTGAACACAGATGTGCCATTCTCTGCTTGGACGCACACAGAGTATTCTTGCTCACAGAATATCTCAGTTGAAGCCCTGAGCATGTAAAAGGAAGGTGAGTAGTTAGTTGCACCTTACACGTGCAGGGTGCTTTATAGCTCTCTTTACAAAGCACTGTGTACTTGATTGGTTCATTATATAAGAATCATAAAGCAACCCTGAGAGTTAGTCAGAGAAAAGCTAAAGATGCAGGGAGGGTTTTTTTTGTTTTTTTGTTTTGTTTTGGTTTTTTGAGACGGGGTCTTGCTCTGTCGCCCAGGCTGGAGTGCAGTAGCGCGATCTTGGCTTGATGCAGGGAGTTTTGGAGTTTTGTGTATCTGCATCTGCAGAGGTTGGAGTCATCCTGTCTATTCATTTCTTTCTCCAGCCTCTCATAGCAGCTGGGAAGAGAGAGTGGAGAGAAAGAGGGCTCAGGACAGGTGTGGACACGGTGGAAGAAGAGGAGCCTGCTGTGACAGACTTCCTTGAAATGACTAACAAGTAAATCTTTAAGGAAATAAGTAAAACCAAAAGAAGGACTTATGGGTTGGAAGAAGGGAAGGAGAAGGAAAAGGCAGATGGGATAGGAATAGGCATTAAAGATTGCAAACAGGCTAGTAGCAAAGAAAGCAAAAAAACAAACAGGGTTTTTAGAAACCAGATAAACCTTGGATTCCTGGTGTTGTCACTTCTGAGCTATCTCTGTGACCTTAGGTAAGTTCTTTAACTTCCCCAAACCTATTTTGCCTCATCTGTAAAATTAAAAAAAAAAAAAAAAAAAGTTCTGACTTTATCATGTGGCTGTGCCTATTAAAAAGAGACAGGAAGCACATAGTATAGTGCTGGGCATATGATAGGGAATTAATGTTGTCTACTATTATTATCTGCAGAAATTCCCTTTGTGTAAGTATCAAAAAATAAATTGGAGTGAAAGTACCAGTGGAAGTACCAAAAATAAATTGGAGTGGCTGTGACAATACTCTAAGCTACTGGCAATGATAGCTTGAACTACATTGACAGAAAGACGAATGGGGAAGGCCAGGACTAGAAGGGACAAGACCTGGGCAGGACAAGGGAGGATGTTTGCAAAAACTTAAAACTTCCAGGGACCTGGGGGGAGG